GGGGTTGTTAACCAATGTTATAAAACAACATGTGTACTTCTGTTTCATGAGAAACTATTTGTTCCATAAGCCTTCACCCGAAGTACAATTAAAAAAAAAAAAAAAAGAGAGGAAAAAAAAATTTTAACTGTTTGAAATATAAAATTGTCACTCAAATTATCATTTGAGACATTTTCTAAAGAACTGTTTAAATGCTTAAAGTTTGAGAAGACAAAAAATAACAATTCAAAGTATCCCAAAGACATCTGAAATATTTAACATGGAATATATGTAATTATATTTAATTTGATATATTAAATAGCAAGCATTCAGAATATATTTAACTTTCAGAAACTTACTTTATCATCGGTAACCAAAACCAAACATTCCTTTAGAAGCTGTTAAAGCCAAAGGAGTCAATTAATTACCAGTAAGTCTATTTGGCAACCTGGTTAGTTAGTGAGCTGATGATCTGGAGAACTGACCTGCTTCCCACTTATACCACCACCAGTTCAGGCACTATGTGACAGCTTAAGAGCACAGGACTTGAAGTCACATAATCCTTGGTTTGGTGAGCACAGCAATTAACGACAAGCTTGCAGCCAAGCATTTCTCGGTTTGAACACTGGCAAGCAGCTTTGGGCAAGCACTTAGGTTAGTTTCCTTACCTGAAAAATGGGGCTAAAATTGTATCCGCCTCATAAACTTGTTTGAAAATTATACAATAGTGTTGTTGTTAGGTGTCGTCGAGTTGGTTCTGACTTACAGTGACCCAAGTACAACAGAACAAAACACTACCCAATCCCACACCATCCTCACAAGCGTCACTTCTAAGGAACATTCTGGCTATACTTCTTCCAAGACAGACTTGTTCATTCTTCTGGCAGTCCATGGTATATTCAATATTCTTCTCCAACACCATAATTCAAATGCATCCATTCTTCTTCTGCCATCCTTATTCATGGTCCAGCTTTCACATGCGTACGAGGCGACTGAAAATACCATGGCTTGGATCAGGTGTACCTTAGTCTTCAAAATGACATCTTCGCTTTAACACTTTAAAGAGATCTTTTGCAGCAGATTTGCCCAATGCAATGTATCATTTGATTTCTTGACTGCTGCTTCGGTGGGCATTGATTGTGGATCCGAGTAAAATGAAATCTTTGATAACTTCAATATTTTCTCCGTTTATCAGAATGTCGCTTATTGTTCCAGTTGTGAAGACTTCTGTTTTCATTATGTTGAGGTGTGATCTATACTGAAGGCTGCGGTCTTTGATCTTCATCAGTAAGTGCTTCAAGTCCTCTTAGCTTTCAGCAAGCAAGGTTGTGTCATCTGCATATCACAGGTTGTTAATGAGTCTTTCTCTATCCTTGATGCAACGTTCTTCTTCATATAGTCCAGTTCTTTAAATAGTCCAAGTTCTACGACTATCTACTCAGCATACAGATTGAATAAGTACAGTGAAAGGACACAACCCTGACACACACCTTTCCTGAATTTAAACCACACAGTATCCTCTTGTTCTGTTTGAACAGCAGCCTCTTGGTCTGTGTACAGGTACCCTATGAGCACAATTAAGTGTTCTAGAATTCCTATTCTTTGTAATGTTATCCATAAATTGTTATGATCCACACGGTTGAAATGCCTTTGCATAGTCAATAAAACACAGGTAAACATCTTTCTGGTATTCTCTGCTTTCAGCCAAGATCCACCTGACATCAGCAATGATATCCCTCGTTCCACTTCCTCTTCTGAATCTGACCTGAATTTTTGGCAGTTCCCTGTCAATGTACTGCTGCAACCATTTTTGAGTTATCTTCAACAAAAATTTACTTGCATGTGATATTAATATTGTTTAAAATTTCTGAATTCTGTTGGATCACCTTTCTTTGGAATGGGCCCAAATACAAATCTCTTCCAGTCGGTTGCCCAGGTACCTGTCTTCCAAATTTCTTGGCATAGATGAGTGAGCACCTCCAGTGCTGCATCCATTTGTTGAAACATCTCAATTGATATTCCGTCAAATCCTGAAGCCTCATTTTTCGCCAATGCCTTCAGTGCAGCTTGGACTTCTTCCTTCAGTACCACTGGTTCTTCATCATATGCTACCTCCTGGAGTGGCTGAATGTCGACCAATTCTTTTTGGTACAGTAACTCAGTGTATTCCTTCCATCTTCTTTTGATGCTTCCTTCGTAGTTTAATATTTTCCCTGTAGAATCCTTCAATATTACAACTTGAGGCTTGAATTTTTTCTTCAGTTCTTTCGGCTTGAGAAATGCTGGATGTGTTCTTCTGATTTTTTTTCTAACTCCAGGTCTTTACACATTTTATTATAATACCTTACTTTGTCTTCTCCAGCCACCCTTTGAAATCTTCTGTTCAGCTCTTTTACTTCATCATTTCTTACATTTACTTTAGCTATTCCATGTTCAAGAGCAAGTTTCAGAGTCTCTTCTGACATCCATTTTGGTCTTTTCTTTCTTTCCTGTCTTTTAAATGATCTTTTGCTTTCCTCATGTATGATGTCCTTGATGTCATCCTACAACTCATCTGACCTTCAGTCATTAGTGTTGAATGTGTCAAATCTATTCTGGAGATGGTCTCTAAATTCAGGTGTGATATACTCAAGGTCATACTAATTTTCTTCAGCTTCAATTTGAACTTGCATATGAGCAACTGATGGTCTGTTCTACAGTCGGTCCCTGGCCTTGTTCTGACTGATATTGAGTGTAGAAGACTGACCACATCTCTTTCGACAGATGTAGTCTATTTGATTCCTGGTGAGGTCCATGTGTATAGTCACCATTTATGTCGCTGAAAAAAAGGTATTTCCAAAGACTAGGTCGCTGATCTTGCAAAATTCTATCATGCGATCTCCAGTGTCATTTCTTTCACCAAGGCCATATTTTCCAACTACTGATCCTTATTTTTTCTCTCTAACTTATGCATTTCAATTACCAGTAATTATCAATGCATCTCGATTGCATATATGATCAATTGCAGACTGCAGAATTTGGTAAAAATCTTTGATTTCTTCATCTTTGGCCTTAGTAGTTGGTGCGTAAATTTGAATAAAAGTCATATTAACTGGTCTTCATTTTAGGCATATGGATATTATCCTACCACTGACAGCTTTGTACTTCAGATCTTGAAATGTTCTTTTTGACAATAAATGCTACACCATTCTTCTTCAGTTTGTCATTGGCAGCATAGTC